AAATACTGAAAGAAAATAACCATGACGAAGTTCATATTCTTAAGATGGATATCGAAGGTGGAGAATATACGGTTTTTTCTGACTTGCTGTGTCGCAAGAATCTAACGAATCTACCTTATCAAATATGTTTTCAGTCGCATTGGTGGAATCGTGACATACACCACGCAATGTTGCACAAATCAATGTTTTCTCAATTATGGGACGTCGGTTATCGATTTCTACAATATGAACTTAATGGAGACGATCATTCTTGTGTAGAATGGACACTAATGAGAGTATTCTGCTAATAACTATTTAAAAGTTAGTCGAAAAGAATCTGATTAGAATCAAATTCTTTTCTTGTTGTTAAAAAATGACTTATAATGGGTCTCTGATAATTCAAACTGTGCCGTACTGAAAATTATGAAAAGCTCACCTTTGATTGGCCTTGCTATATAGATGATTCTAATGCATTTTCGATCCTTTTAAGCTTCACAAAATTCAGTTTATAAGCAATGGCAGATGTGAGAGGATTGTGACGGGATGATTGCATTCTGCTTCAGAAACCTCTTCTGTATGAGAAAGTATACTCGCCAATGAGAAGTATGTTTTATGCGCCATATAGGAACAGCGGATATCTTCATGGTTCATTTGAAATTCACTGGCGGGGCTTACAAGAATGCACTGTTAGTGAATAAAAGTTATGTAAAACTTTAAATCGTTTCTTCATGGGTCCTTTATTTGTGTCTTCAGAGTAAAGATGCAAACCATTTCTCTTTTGACATCACGAAAGAAAAGCAAGATTCAAGACTTCACGTTAGCTGTCAGTGAAGTGCTACAAAGAAAATTCTTTTCATCATTAGGGTGTGGGTGTGGGTGTGGGTATGGGTGTGGGTGTGGGTATGGATGTGGGGTGTGTGTGGTGTGGGTGTGGGTGTGGGTGCGGTTGTGGGTATGGTTGTGGTGTGTGGGTGTGGATGTGGGTGTGTGAGTGTGGGTGTGTGGGTGTGTGGGTGTGGATGGGTGTGGGTATGGGTTGGTGTTAGTGTGGGTGTGGATGTGGGGGGTTGGGGGTGTGGTGGTGGATGTCATTGAAGAGAAGACCCACACACACATCCACCCCCACCCCCACCCCCATGCTCACACCCACACTCACACCCACACACACTCCCACAGCCACACTCCCATCCACACGCACTCCCACACCAACACTCACACCCACCCCCACACCTACCCACATCCACATCCTCGGTTATCGAAACAATGCAAATGTATAGTTCGAACTTGCACGAAAACTTCCATCTTCATCATTAACTCCCCTCCCCCCAATAATAGAAGCTCCCGGGGGCTTCTAAACTGCCCAGCATCCGAAATTTTCGGAGGGGGCTTCTATTATGTCCGACGATTTTTCAAAGATTTCAGGTACCAAAGTTTTTCAAAAGCCTTAAGGAGATTTTCAGAGTTTTTACGGGTTTTTCGCAGGATTTTCAAGGAAATTTTGAGATTTTAATACTGACAAGCAAGAATTTAGTACATTTTTACCTTAAAACCTTGTAATTTTTAAAGTTTCACTATGGAAACACAAATAAAAGTTTCCAAAAAACTTGCGAAAAGCTTTTAAAATGAGGGGGCTTCTAATATGTCTGGCAAGTCGACTCCTCCAGGGGGGGCTTCTAATAGGGGGGAGGGGGGCGGCTTTTAATATTGGGAGGGGGGGGGGGGTTAATTGAAGATCCATTAAAAAAGAGTAAGATATGACAAATCTTTATCAGATTTTACACTATTTTTTATTTTTTATTAGAAGCAAAACCAAATTGAACCAATGGCAACATTATGAAAGCCTAGTGAACATTATATAGATATACAGAAAAACTTGTGATTTCATGTTTACAAAAAAATCATTCCATATTCTTTATTTTTTTTCATTTCATCTATTTGTACTATTTGTATTAAACAAGTCTATGTTGATTATTTTAATTTCAGATATCTTTGTTAATTTCTATAGGCGATCATGAATGTTAACAAAGGTCGATCACAGACAAGGAAAAAACAAATTCAATCAAGGTCAACATACCAAAAAAGGACAACATTTCAAAAAGAAACATCGTCGATTACATATGCAAACGAAAAAACTACCAGACAATAATACGTTTTAGTTAGCAGAGAGTATACAAATTACACAATTTCGAAGCCTATCTATATCACTACAGTCGCCGGTGAAAAAGAAATCTAATCCTTTGGATATTGCAACAAATACCGATTCAACACTATTGTTATCTGGTTATTTGACAAAATCTAACATTAAGTTTAAAGAAATGTTATTAACATCAACATCAGAAGATATTGATACAAATACATTAAATCAATTGTTTGATAATGAAGCAATATTCATATTTATTCGTCAACTTACTCAACTCGTGAATAAATTAAATTATTCCAGATTACAAAATGAACAATGGACTTTTTTATTATGATCTTGGTATGAGAGGTGGTATTTGGAATGGACGAGTATCGAAAAAAATGGCCAATGCAAATTCAATGTGCCACACATATGGTCAATCAAAAATGTTAATCCAACAACGTCAACAGAAATATAAACAACAATTTGAACAAATCCAAAATGATATTAATGAACATAAGAAACAACCACCTGCTCTTATTGATATGACTAAAATAATGAATATCATAAATAATCTCATTCATAAAGATCAATATCAATTACATATTGAACTTCAAAGATGAAGTATGCTACAATTCGATGCCAAAGAACATCAATTAGTCCACAATTTTTATCAATTAAAACCAAGGCAAATAGAGGTTAGTGAATATATCATCCATCAATCTCTCGTCTATTCATTATTTTCTCTAGATCGATTCAGCAAAACTAATTTAGAAAAATATTCATGATCAACAAGCAATAAGATATGAAATTGCTACGTTTAAAAAGTGGTTGCCAATTCACACTCTATCAACATCACATACTTTTCCGGATCTACAATTAACGAAAATACACAATATATTCACACAACTAGTTTTCAAAACACAACAAACATCAATCCATGATTTAGCGCTCAAAACGCTGGCAAAAACCGAAGACATGGCACAAACTTATGCACAAAAAGGTTTCAAAGAAAAAACCAAACCGCTACATACAAGATGTAATCATAAGAATATTCCATTCTTCGACAAAATCATGACAACAATTGTCGCCCGTGAAACCAATATCATACAACGTTTACAATATGATACTGAACAAAAACTACTTACAGTATTGAATCAAATACAATCTTCCCTTATCGATCATTAATTCTCCACATAAGGAAACTTCCTACAGCAGCCATTTCTGTTGTAATTGTTCATAGTACAGTATACCATGTAACTACTTTTTTTTCAAAATACATGCTTACCATATCATTAAACAAAAAATAACCAACACTCGAAATAATGAACCTAACTTCTTTTTATTTCAGATCATAGTCACGACTATCCTTCCGAAAATATCAAGATACTAATTCAACATTTAACATGCATCCATCATCGGACCTATATATTGCAACTACTCGATCAGCTACAAGCAATATCCATTTACCTACTTATGTGGTACCTATATTCACCCTTGTTTTTCATGATTCTAATTTTCTAGTAGATAACGTATTATCTATCGATTTTTTTTTCCAAAAAAATTTGGGTTTAAATCTTTTATACTAATATCTATGTGCCACTTGATAAGATCAGCAACATCGAAATACCTAGAGTATTGTGGTAGCTATACACCCACACCCACACCCCCAAAACACACTTCAACAGCGATGTCATGTAACTCGAATATCATACCGCCTATACTGAAAAAAAAAATCGAAGAATGATAAACCTTTCAAACGTTTATCAAAATGCAACGTATGATAAACCCTTTTCTACCGTTTATCAGAGCCTGAGAAACCCTTTTATCTACACTCTAAAAAAAAAGGAGTTTTACCGAACCCTCCAAAAAGGTTTCGTAGATGCTTAAAAGCTTCTAAATATGTTCAAACGCTTAAATAGAT